ATCCCACACCCATCCTTGATTGGGGGAGGTCGGCTTCTCTCCTCCAGAGCTCCTTTTCAGATCCTCATGTGTTTCTGGTCCTGCAGTAGGTTCTGATGGGAAGTATCTGCTGCCAGCCCTCCATGGGTTCTCTTCTCTGCAGGTGACATCACCATGGAAGGGCTGGACAAAGACAGGCAGCTGCAAACAGGCGAGATCATCATCATCGTCGCTGTGCTGCTCATGTGGGCAGGTAAGTGCCACAGGCAACGTTCTGGCAGACTGGGACAGAGGCAATTCAGGGCCCACAAAGAGGATGGGGCTCAGGAGAGCACAGAGGCATATTGTTATGGGTCTGGCATCCTTCCCTGTAAGTCCATTGAGTCTCTGTAGAGGCTCAAGACAGTGGGGTAAAGAGTAGCAACCACAGCCACTGCTCAGCAGTGGTGGCCTGGAGCAAGTGGGCTGGCTGGCCTGACTGCTGTGCTGGAAGAGCAGGAGGTGCTGTTGGACCTCAGCAATACAGAATTACATAGTTGGAGCATCCCAGCTGACATGAACTATCATGTCGCTTGACCCTTAGCTGGCTTGTCTGACATGGGAGAACATTGCTGCAGTGGCTGGTAGTGGCTGTGCCTCAGTCTGCTAGAACTGCAAGATGTGCAATTTGCTCCTGTACAGCACCTGGTTAATGCCAGGGCTTTAGCACACAGCAGGTTGCCCTGGGAGCAAGGAACCCTAGGAGATAACAGTCAGCTTCTGGGTGGTCACAGGCACCTGCTGGGAATGAGATGTCATTTGTCCCCTACTTCCAGTAAATATGGATTTTCTAGGGGCATCTTGCAGGAATCTCTCTTTGTCCTGGCCTTGAACACTTTCCTAGTGCACTGGAAAAAAATACCAGATGGCTGCTGGTATCTTACACCTCAGGCAGGTCCAAGTATCAAGAAGGCCAGCAGGGAGAAATCGGGTCTAGTCTGCGGGCAGCAGTAGTAACACTTAATAGTTTGAATAGGTCCAACATCTATAGTGGTTGCAGTTCAAAGCATTGCTCCAGAGTCCTGCATCCAGGGTCCCCAGGTGTGGGATTTGTTAGGTATGGGATGAGTGCAGTGAAACCATGACAGTGTGACTGACCTGACAGTCAGCAAGGCAGGACAAAGCCAAGGGCTGGCTTTTGTGAGTCTCACAAGCACTGGACCAGTGGCTTTAGTGCCTTGCTGGCATTATCCAGCGACCCACTCACTGCTCACTGACCTCCAGGGCTGTCCCTGTCCACATGCCTCAACATCTGCCTTTGGCCTCAGAGCCCTGAGCCATAGGCGCCTCACACCTCACATGTGCCCTGGTCGGTTTAGCCATGTCTGTGCCTTGTCTGCCCAGCAAGCTTGGCCTGTCCAGACATGCAGAGGTGCCTGGGGTGCTCCAGGCTAACGCAGGTTGGACGTGTATGTGACCAGCACCCCGGGGTGCCCAGGGCCTTACTGCTCTCCAGCTGGGATGCTGCAGAGAGGGGAGAGAAGGGGCAGCCAGGGTGGGAGAGTCCTTCATCCCCTGTGTTTTGGCAGCGGTGATAGCCCTCTTCTGCAGACAGTATGACATCATCAAGGACAATGACTCCAACAACAACAAGGAGAAGACGAAGCCGTCCTCGGAGCACAGCACGCCAGAGCGGCCGAGCGGGGGGCTGCTGCGGAGCAAGGTGAGTGGGAGAGCTGCAGGAGGGAAGGCACATGGCATCTGCTCTGGCTTATTGCCTGGACAGGTTCTGGCTCTCTCCAAAAATAGAAACAGCTCATGTTCTCACCCTAAAAACTGAGGGGTTTTAGGGTGCAGTGAGCCCTGGTCTCCTCAGGCACTGTGTGTGCCTCATGGGTGATTGCAGGAGAAGCAATAGAAGAGATAGCAGGATCCTGTCACCTGGGATGGCTCCCATGTTGCAGGGTGGTACTTGTCCTCTTGCTGTGATAGCCCTGTCACCATGCCCCTCCAAGGCTGCACCTCTTCTGCATCCCAGTTCGGGCAGGAGCCAGACAAGCTGGGCAGCTGTTCTTACGGCTCCCGCACTAGGCTGTCACTGCTCACCTTCTGCCTGCACTGTGGTCTGCTCCAGGCCCTCGCCACACAAGTTGTTTTCATGGGAAAGATCCCAGAGCTTCTTCCCCACCTAAATGGAAGTACTGTGCCAGGCTATGGATGTGAGGGAGCAGAATTTTCATCTGGCTGTTCCCACAGCACCTGACACTTTTCCCTTTGTTACTTGACAGGGACAATGATTTATAACCCTACTGGACATACTCTAATAAGACCTGGCATTAGATTTTCCCTTGTGTCTCATCTGCTGTCTCTATTGATGGTGGGGATGCTACTCACTGTGTTGGCTCAGTGCTCCTTTGCTTCCACATCTTGGTTTCCAGCCGATGTCAGGAGCAGAAACTTCCTATTTGGGCTTCAAGACTCCAATTCTCCCCCTCCAGATTTTCCAGCTTCATGATTATGCCTTGCCAAAAAGATCCCTCTCAAAAAGATCCTTGCTCCAAACTGACCTTGTTCATATAGGGCTGCAAAGGCATGTGCAAAAGCCTATTACTGCTTTTGCAAAGTTCACCTGAACAAGGCTGATGCATCTCAGTTTGTCTTTTTTAATTCTCTGTATTCCTGGCACCCTTGCAGGTGACAACACTGCAAGGTTTTTCTTGTAGTCCTTAATTACAAAGCTGGGAACAAGGTATAGGGGGGAAAAAAAACCCTCTGCATTTGCTTCTCCTCTTTGCTCCAGGGCCAAGCTGCTGTAAAGTAGTTGACAAAGGTGCAGCTTTTGATCTGAGCCATTAGAAAGTGTGGTCATGGGGACACTTATTTCCTGCACCCAGCTTCAGCGTACAAGGGGTGAGCTACAAAACCTGTGCAGAAACCAGGACCCCTTTCCACCCTTTCCTTTGAACTCTCATATCTGCTGTGCTCTTCAAAGAGCACATTCCTTTTAGTTTAAAGGAAGTTGCCTTGGTCGTGCTTGCAACAGTTTTTAGGAAAATCCACCTTGCCAACTGCAGCCTTTAGTTCCCCTGGCACATGCCAGAGCTGTTGTGAGAGGCATGGCAGTGAGACATATCTGCCTCTCAGCAGTCCTCATCTGCCACTCCATGCCTGTCATCCCATGCTTTGTGGATTCTCTGCACCATGGTAGACATCCTCCTACCCTCATCGCTTACCTTTTCTGCTCTGACCTCCTGTCCAAGGGCATCAGGTGTAGTGTGGCTACCACTAGGGACCAAGATAGAAGTCACCAGACATCTGCAGGCCCCGGAGGCTGAAGAGTGTGGGGCAGGGAGGCTGGTTCATCCAGGAGTCCTGGGGCACAGCAGTGGGCAGAAAGCCGCCTTGAAGGGGCAAGAGTGTGGCTGAGGGGACTCACCTGGAGGCAGGCACCACGAGATGCAGATGAGCTGCCTGGGAGCCAGGAGAGCACATCAGTGCCAAAGGCCGAGGTGCCAGGGTTAGCTCCCTTGGTCTGCTAAAGCCAAGTCTGTGCTGCCCACATCCAGCTCGGGGCAGGGGGCTCAGCTGTGGCCAGCAGCCTTTGTCCAGGGCAGGCTGCCAGTTGCAGAGCCTGCTGTGGGAGGTGGGGGCTGTGCCCTGGGGTTTGCATCCCAGGGCCTTAGCAGAGCAGGGCTTTAAAGTGGTTTTTTCTCTCATAGAAGAAGTCTCCCTCGGTCAATATAATCGAGGTGTAAGTGCAGCACCAGCTCTCTGTCTGGGGTCCTGGGCATCCCACCGGAGCCAAAGCAGGCCTTGGAAGAGGAGGCAGCATCAGGCGCCCTGCCTGGAACTCTGCATGTGAAGACCCACGTTATCAGAACTGACGCTTTCCCGAGGGCGCCAGCCCAGGGACGTGCACGGCGCCGGCTCCCAGCCCTGCATGCAGCGCGGGTCCTGCCCGCACCACCGGCCTCGCTCCCCTGCCACCTGCAGTGTGGGGCTGGGCTGGGGCAGCACTGCCCGCCTGCCTCGCCCTGCCCGCCGCGTCTGGGCTACGAGCACAGCTGGAGAGTGGATCCCTGCTGGAGAACGGGGCTCTGCTGCACCCCACCATGGCCATGCAGCAGCTTCAGGGCCTTTCCCTGCTGCTGGGGACAAAGACACGAACGAGCACAAGGAGCTGGTGCTGCCACAGTGCCTGGCTGCCTTGCAGAGCATGTGGCCAGGGCAGGAATTGCTGGCAGGAGTGGTTCTGTGGGATGAGGTGAGCCCCCCAGAGCTGTGGGAGCAGTGCCAGGGCACGGCTACGGCTTCAACTTTCCCCTATCAGGAATCCGTCTGGACACATTCACACTGTTTTGGGGGAAGCTGCTGCAGACCCTGTGAGCAATGTGGTGGTGCCTTGTGCTGCCTGGAGGAGATGATGCAATGAGGCCCTGCACGGTCTCAGCAGGCTGGGCAGGATGTGTGCTGCAGAGCCTGTCACCATTCTGGGGACAACCCTAGCTTCAACAGCACCACAGCCTGCTCCTGGCCCTTTCTGTCTTCCAAGTTACAGTCACAGCTGATGCTCCTGCTCCTGGAGCTGATCCCATGCAGCAGGTTGGCTGATGTGAGATGGAGCTGTGGGAAAGGGCTGACCCTGAATGCCCTGAGCTGGTGAACCTCTGGCTCGCTGTTATCTGCCCAGTCTGCTTGCTTATGTGAGGACAACAGGAACCATCAACCACCCTGGGGCTGATTAATAGGTGGTGTCAGATCAGTGCTTGCTTGCTCCCCAGAGCCTGCAGGCAGAAGTCTGTGCCTGGGTGTCTGCACTGCTTTGTGTCCAAGGCAGGGCAGGCCCAGGCATGCCTCCTTGCCAGCGGTGGGAGGGAAAGGGTGATGCCAGGAGGCTGGCAGCTGGTGGCCCTGGCTGCTGCTCTCCCTCTGTGCTCTGCTCTGTGGCCTGTCACTGAGCTGGAGTGCTGGCTCTGCAGCCCTGGACTCAGGCATCACAGGATCCAGCGTCTTCCAGGAATAAACCTCCCAGTCAAGCACTTTCAGGACTCTTCCTTCCAGATGCTGCTCAGCTCCTGCTGCAGAACTGGGCAGGGAGGGGACGGGATAAGCGACTCCCTGTGGCAGGGTCTTTTCAATAAAAGCATCCTGGCTCAAACACATCCTTGTTCATGCAGAGCTGCAGGTCTGTATGTGTTTGCGTGTACGTGTAACAGCGCTTCCTGAACCTGTGTGTATGGCCTGTAGAAGGAGAACTGCTCTTGCCTACTGTGCAAGAGCTGCGGGTCCTCTAAGGCCATCTTGCACTCGGGGGAGTGCTGGTGCTGCATGCTGGGCAAGTTGCAGTTGCAGACTGTGCCATTGAGGGTGGCTTTCTCTGCACAAACAAACCAGACTGCAGAGAGCAAAAGAGAGTCTGGTAGCAGGGCCAGGAAGGAGGATGAGGTCAGATCCCACCAGGGGCTGTACTGCTCCCTGTTCGGGTAAGGAGAGGTGTACCTGAGGAGCAGAAGTACAGTGGTGGGGTCTGAGTGCTGCTGTGCTGTAACTTCAGCTGCTGGAAGCATAGCCATAGCTCCAGGGAGACAAACCACCTTGTTTTGTCAGCTAGCTTGGCTTTTAGAGTGGTCAGGGAAACACAAGTTTTTAAAAAAGCTATGGCACCCTGGAAAATGTTTAGCAATGCTGTCCTGGAGGATCAGAGCAAACATGTGCCTACTGTCAAAGTTCTTTAACTGACCAGAGGCACAGCTTGTCTATGTCTCCAGACCTCAGCCAGGCATGCAGCAGGGAAAAGGCACACCAGAGCAGAGCAGGCACACAGGACTTCGGTCCTTCCTGGCCTCAGTCAGCTGTTGGTGCAGATGATATTTACAGGTGCTCAAGGAACACCAGTCCAGCATGGCCTGGACCAGCCCCCTCCAGATAACAAGGGCCCCAGCAGTCCTTGGCACAGGGGGAGAGCAGCTCCCTCAGAGCCAGCAGCAGGGGAAAGATGTGGGAGTTCCAGGGCAGCTGCTGGGGGTTGAGGACTAGGTGACCTTTAAAGGTCCCTTCCCACCCAATCCATTCTATGATTCTACAATTCCATGAGCTTGGGACAAAGCCAAGGCCCTCATGGTAGGCAGGGAAGTATCATGGCAGGCAGCACAGCAGTCACAGTACCTGCACCTGTGGGCATGGACCCCCATCCAGCAATCAAAACCAAGTAACAGTAAAAAACTCAGTTTATTTCCTTACAAAGGTAGGGCTTTCTTTAAAAAACAGCACATTTCAGTCATGAGAGGGTGTGGGGGCTGCACTGCAGGAGTGAGGCCTTCCTCACTCCTCCAGGCTCAGAGCTATCGCTCCCTGAGGGTCACGCATGCCGAGCAAGTCCTCCACCATCTCCAGGAGGCAGCTCAGCCTCGGCTGGTCCCCAGCCACCAGCACGAGGAGCAAGGTGGGAGAAACAAGCGAGGTCAGACTGGGTGCAGTCCTGGGCACACTGGCTACTTCTGCAGGCTCAGAGCACCAGGATGGCTCTGGGGTGGCTCCGAGGGCGCGGGCAGAGCAAGGAGCAGGGTCCCCTCGAGCAGGAAGCGGCTGCGGCTTTGGGGGGGGGCTGCGCGCGGGGGGGGGGGAGAAAAAAAGCACCAGGATGGCTCTGGGTTGGCTCCGAGGGCGCGGGCAGAGCAAGGAGCAGGGTCCCCGCGAGCAGGAAGCGGCTGCGGCTTGAGGCGGTTCATGCAGGCGGAGAGCAGGGCAAGGAGCGGGTGTCGCAGCCTGTGCACTGCATGGCAACAGTGCCAGCAGAGCCCCTGCCAGGTGGGCAGTGAGAGGGCAGGGGCAGGCATTGTCTGGCCCGAGTGCAGGCACAGGGTGAACCCTGAGTGGCTGGTCCATGGCTGTGGAGATTCGGCTTAGCCCAGGGCAGTCTTGGAGCCAGGAGCTCTGGGGCCAGCTGTGGGGAGGTCTCCAGCAGCCTGTGCACTGCATGGCAACAGTGCCAGCAGAGCCCCTGCCAGGTGGGCAGTGAGAGGGCAGGGGCAGGCATTGTCTGGCCCGAGTGCAGGCACAGGGTGAACCCTGAGTGGCTGGTCCATGGCTGTGGAGATTCGGCTTAGCCCAGGGCAGTCTTGGAGCCAGGAGCTCTGGGGCCAGCTGTGGGGAGGTCTCCAACCCCTCTCAGCCCCTTCCAGCTGTCTGGGGGCTGCCCCAGGCGGTAGCACAGGAGCTGGGCAGTAGCAGAGCTCGCTCTGGGCACAAGATGTGCTGACTCTGAAAAGCAAGAGGTAGCAAGACCCAGTCCATAAGGCATGTGGTTGGGAACCCAGCGCAGCCTGGGAGGGGAAGCAGACCTTCCTAGGCCAGCCATTAGCCCCCCTCCTCCTGCAGAGAACATGTAGCACTAAAGGAAGGAACCTACCTGCTGGGCTGTGGGCTCCCCTCCCCAGCTCCTCCATGCTGCTTTGTAAGAGAAGAGAGCACCCATCACACCCCACACAAGGCTCAAACCACACAGTGTGCTCAGGATGCTGAGAGCACAGGCACAGCACATGGCACAGCAATTCCAGGCACTCGGAGTGCAGGTGGCCCCAGTCTGCTTGCTACCAAACCCTCTCCCCAGGCCAGCCTGTCTTGAGGCTGCAAAGCTACTTCTCCTTCCCATCAGGAGTCCCCGCATACAAAGAGCTGCCATTTCACAGGGTCACACACACAGCTCCAGTCTGTGCAAGCACTGGTTCCTGGCTGGCTCCAGTTCAGACCATGCTCAGCCCTGTGGCACTGTCCCCAGCCAGGTACCAACTACCAGGCACATGGAGAACAGCCACAATGGAGCAGTCCTCTCACACCCACCACCAGAGGCACTTTTCTACAGATTACTCCACTGCCACACTGGTACCATCAGCTCCTCCCAAGCACAGCACAGACACCCACAAGCTCAGCTCCAGGCCCTAGTCCACACAGAAGTCATCCTGACCAGGCCTCCACCCTGGCTCATACCCCAGGGATATCAGTGGAAGGAGTAGGCCAGCCCTGGGTCCCACCTAGGAAGCATGTCTGGATAGGCTGGCCTCTGCAAAGAGTGGCAGAAACAGAACAAGGAACATCTCTGGGTACATCCCGAGGGCCAGCATCTGTACCCCCTACTCCTTTGCAAAAGTTGAACTTCAAAATCTGCCCTTCCCCAGCTCAGCTCCTTGCTCACTTGACCCCTCAACTGACAGAGGCAGAGAAAGCAGCAGGATGCTCCCCCTTGCTCCTATGCAGATCTCCTCCATGCTCCCACCATGCCCATAGCCCCAGCAGCTCCCCTTCCATGGGGCATAGAGAAGGAAACATGACAGGGCTCACCAGAGAGACCCCTAAACACAAGCAGCAGCTCACCACCTACCCAGACAAGGTTTCTCCAATGTTATCATCTTCCTCCTCCTCTTCCTCCTCCTGGCAAAGAAACAAAACAAACCCACCATGACACCTTGCTACCTGGTCAGGTCTCTGCCCGGAGCAAGGCTGGGCTGCCCAGAGCCTGTTCTGGAGCAGCAGGGCAGTCTCCAGCTCCTTCACAAGACACAGTCACCCATCAGGCATGGCACAGATGGAGCATGCCTACAGGCTGCAGGGGAAAGATGGCACCTGCAGTGCTGAGCTGCTGAAATCCTCAGGGCTCAAGCAAACAGTCACGCAAGGGAGGAGGCAGATCACTGCTCTTCTCACATCCACCCCAGCCAGCAGAGCACCAAACACGGGCTGTGAGCAGGGAACAAGCTGAGACAGCTGCAGCACGCAGCGTGCCTTTGCCCAGAGGCAAGAGTGGGGTCAGCACACCTTGCAGCTGGAGGCCAGGCAGAGAGCAGCCCAGAGCCAGCTGTACCCAGGTGTGACCCCCAGCACTGCCAGGCTGGGCCAGTACTGAGAATGTGAGAACCAAGGACCAAGTGTCCAGAGGCTCCTGGGCAGGAACACAGTGAGACTGGCAACACTGGGTCTGGACATGCAGCAGTTGTAGTGCAGATGGGCAGGGCTGAGCCTTAGCCCAGGCTGGCAAGATGGGTCCTGAAAGGCCAGGAGGAGGGAGCTGCATAAGGGTGACCCTTCTCCTGCCCTGCTGTGGGACAGCCCTGGGCATGGGCCAGACTTGCACATACTGTACCCCAAACTGGTGTCTGAAGGGAGGGCTTCCCGGGGGGGCTGGCTCACTTGGTCTGCCGGGCTCACTGCTCTCCAAGACACATGAAGGGTGAAGGGGCTGTTCCTGCCTAGAGCCTGGGACAGGGCAAAAGCAGCAGTTAGTGCCTGCAACCTGGAGAAGGTCCAGCAGTGGATGGACAGGCAGGACTGTGGACAAAGGACAGCGACCCTGCTGTGCTTAGGGGTGGGTGCACACAAGGGTGGGAGATCACTGCTCTGGGCAGGTACCACAGGGCCTGGAGCTGTATTACAGCTCAGCAATGCAGAAGAGTTCAGCAGCAATAGCAGGGACTCCCCCACCTCCCATCCCAAACAGAGATGGGGCAGGCCCCCCAGCTGGGCAGTAGCAGAGAACACAACAGCAGGGACAATGTTCTCCCTGTTTGGTGTGTTGCACCAGCCAGGCAGCAAGCCACCTCTCCTGCACACAGCCCAAGACAGAGTCCCACACTGCAGACCCTGATCCCAGGGCTAGGCAGAGGAACATGTCTGAGAAATTCCTCCTACCTGCATGTGCTGCTTCCCAGAGATCCAGTGCCATCTGGAAGGCCTGGGCCACGGTCAGAGTCACAGCCTGGGCCTGTGTACAAGAAATAAGGGGAATGTCTCCTTCCATCTGGACCCTGAAGCCAGAACAATCCCATTGCCATATGGTCTGGGGGCCCCTATCCTCCTTCACTGCCTCTCCCTGCAGAGCACACACTGGGAAGGACGGGGGCTCAGTGCTTGTCTGTCTGCCCACACAGGCCAGCCACCCCTAAGAGGAGATCCCAGAGGAGCTGGGACAGTGGAATCTCCTCTTGCTCAGCACCTGCCTCTGCAGTGTGTGAGCATACACGTGCTCCCTGGCTCCATTTCCAGCTGAGGTCCAGAGGAGAGGGCCTTCTCTCTCTGAAGGGGGAGAAGGAAGGCCCTTGCTCCTACCCTTACCTGATGGAGCCAAGAGCAGAAGGGAAGTGCTTACAATCTTTTTCTTGGGTGAGAGGAAGGCATGACACTCCAGTGCCCCACTCTGCTGGCTCTGGGCAACATAAGCGAAGACTTTGTTCTGCAGCTTGTCTGTTGTGCAGTAGGAGATCCTGCAGGTAGAGAGGAGATGCTCAGGGCAGTAAGGGACCCCAGCACAGATCTTTCTCAGGCTTTCATCTACCCCACATGATCTGGTGGCCCAACCCCACAGCAAGGGCCAGAGGCACCTACAGCTGGTAAGAGATTACTGTATCCACAGGCATTCCCTCCTGCATTGCCCTAGTGTGCTCCTCAGCCATCTGCTGCCCATTTCAACCCAATGTAGGAACCCAAACACTAGACAAAAGGAGCACAGAAGGGTGGGTGGTTGCCTCTGAGGACACAAGTGAAGGCCAGGCAGCAAGATGGTCTGCCTTGGCACATCAGCTCTGGTGCTAAGACTCAAATTTTGCACCAAGGAGATGTCTTGTCTCTCCTTCCCATCTAGCCACCAGCCTGCAGTCATGCTCCCCTCACACCTAGCACCCACAAACACCTAACCCAGCCAAAGCACAGCTCGCAGCAGTAAAAACACCCCACATCAGCTCTCACAGCAACTGCCTTCAGCCAGCCTGAGTAACCTGCAGTCCTTGGCACCCTCATCCCAGTGCAGCTAGGTTGGTCCTGTGGGTCTTATGTCAGTGGAAAAAGGCAGACATGCAGTCCTGCCCCAACTGTGGGGCTTTCCAACCATCAGCCTCACCATCCTGTTTGAATGCCAGCAGAGACAACCAGGGCCCAGGGAAAAGACAGATGGACTGACCCAGAACTCACAAACACTCAGGTCCCACTCTGCATTCAGCCTCAGGCAGCACTGCAGGGCACAGCAGGGAGCGGGCACTGACCTCAGGGAGCCAAAGAAAGACCTAAGCTGGAAGGTACCACTGACAGAAGGCCCAGTCCTCCCTGGCTTCTCAAGACCCCATCAACCTCCAGCTGGCTCCTGGGGACTACCGAGCCGCCATGCCCACCTGTAAATGGAGATGTTCTCAACCATCTCCTTTGTGTCCGCATCCTGCAGCGAGATTCCCCTCGGAGACACTGTCAGAATCACTTTCTGGAATTTGCGAGCTCCTACCCGTGCCTGGCAGTGGGAAGACCAGACACCTCTGCAAATCTGGCATGGATCTTCATCCTGCCTTCCTGGCAGGAACTCCCCCAGACTCTGTACAGAGTGCCACCCACTTGGGCCCTTGCTGCAAAGGACCCTTATGTGGGGATGGAAAAGCAGAGCCTGGAGATCAGGTGCACTTTCCACAGAACACCCCTGGAATCTGCTCACCTGACTGCCACCCTCCTCTCCCTGCTGTGACAGGCACAGCTCTGCTCCTAGTCGTGGTGCAGGAGCAGGCAGTGGTCCTGCAGGAAGGCAGCTTCCCCCACAGCATACAGGCCGTGGGACCTGCCAGCCCCTTGCATGCCACCCTCCTTTTGTGAACAGCACAGTCCCTGGCTGGGTGCAGGGCTGGGACATGGACACTTCCAGAGGCCTGGGCTCCCTCTCCACCCTAGCAGCGCAGAGCCCCAGGGCCAGCTCTCACCGTGGCCACAATCCTGCGGATGGCAGCAGCCGCCATGTCTTCTCCTTTGGGCTTCTCTACCAGTGTCATCCCTAGATACTTGAGTGTGAAGCACATCCCCTCAAGCAGCGGCTCCTGCATATCAGCCCAGCTCTCAGGAAGCTCTGCAAAGACAAAACCCCGTGGCAGCAAAACCCACGTGCTGCTCCCCCAGCAGAGCCACCCCACCTTGCTGCAGCCTCACTGCTCCCAGCAGCAGCGCTGCTACCTGCACACAGCAGGGCAGTCTCCTGGCTCTGTGACATTCTCAGAACAGGAACAGAACGAGAGGACAGTTCACTCTCGAAGCTTTTAGTCCTTCATCCCTGGAGCTACAGGCACTGTCAGCACAGACTGTAAGCTCCTGCAGAGATCCGCAGCTCCTCAGATGCTGCAGTGTTCAGTGCTATCTGCCTTGTGTTTCCAGTTTTCATCTGTTTCCCTAATGTGCTCTGTACTGCATTCATCTCACCCACCGAAGCCGCTGCCACTCCTCAGGAACAGCAGCATTTGCTCTCACACTCAGTCAGATCAGAACCAGCAAGCTGTCCCAGTATAGCCAAAGCTAAACCCTCTGGTAGCTGTCATTTGCAGCAGCAGGCTGCCAGGGAAGGGGAAGCTTGTCCGGCACTCACAATCCAAGCTGGAGTGACTGGGAAGCAACTGCACCACAAAGATTCTGGGTTAAGGAAGAGATCAGACTGGCATTTCAGGGATGCAAACTAGCTGCCAGGAAAACACACTGTATGGATGAGCTCCAGCGGACAGAGGGAGGAGAAACATTGGTTGGATTCAATGATCTTAAGGGTCTTTTCCAATCTAAATGATTCTATGAGAGCTCCCACATGCATTACTTTGCAGGTCACAGAATTAAAGGGGCACTGGCTTCTGTTTCCTGTGCCCTCTCTTTTCAAACCCCATTGCTGCAGTCAAGAAAAAGAAAAGAAAAAAAATCCAAACAAAAAATGGGCAGAGTTCCTGCTCACTCAAGGAAGATTCCATACGGACAGTTCTCAGCATGTCCAGCTTCCTTCAGAAACCAGTGTGTCTCATCAGCTTGTTCTGTCACACAGCAAACATGCTGGCAGAAGGAGCCTTTGCTCTACAGTCAGTCCCAACACCAGTGCCACTGGCAGAGAACACAAAACAAGCAATGTAAAATTCAAGGAGAACTGAAGCAGGTGTCAGCACACAGTTGCTTTCCTCAAATATCAGGAAAAGGTTTTTCACCCAGAGGGTGGTCAAGCAGTGGAACAGACTCCCCAGGGAAGTGGTCACAGCACCAAGCCTGCCTGAGTTCAAGTGCCCTACACAGGGACAGGAGTTGGACTCCATGACCCTGATGGGTCCCTTCTAACTCAGCATATTCTATGATTCTATGAAATCCCAAAGGTCACAAGGATGGTAACAGGAGATATGCAGAAAGGTTAAGACATGGGGAGTCACAGTCTCTCTCTTCTCAGGGATTCATCCAACAGAGGAGGGAAGGAACAAGAACTCAGAGTGACATCCTCTGCTGCAAAAACACACGGTTGTACACTTCCCTGGGAATTGCCTAGGTATCTACTGGTCACACTAAGCTATTACTTTTTAGGGTTATTTTTCACCTCTTCCCTGGGATTAGCTCCCTGAACATTACTGGCACACTTGCAGATACCTGGAATAACCTGAAACCACAGGGAAATTCGGGAGACCTTACTTGCACAGCATATCCTTGCACAAACCACAGCTGCCAGGGAACTCAGCGGGTACAGTGCAGGGTACAGCTCCCCAGGGTACAGCACCTTCTCCCTCCGAACTGTGTGCACAGCCCAGATGTGCAGGGGCTGCCACAGTGAGCTCTGCTGCCCCAATGAAGCCTTTGGGCAGCTGTGACTGAGAGACCCCCAGCATAGCCCTGGTGCTGAGCCCGGGGGTCACCCCAGGAGCTGGCTGTGCCACGGACAGCATGGCAGCCAGCCCGCACTGAGGCCTGACACGCTTGCTGCATGCGTGTCCAGAGAACCAGGCACAGAAGGGGGAACAGTGCCTGACAACCCCTGGCACCACCGCCCCAGGCCCGTCGCCCACCCGCATGGGCGGGCTCCATTCAAAAGCAGGTCAAGAGGCCGGCACCCAGGGGACCGAGGGACCCAGCCCAGCAGCCCAAAGCGCTGCTGGCTGCCCCAGCCTG